GGGTGTGAAAAGGCTGCCCAACCTTGCCTAAAGTTTTTTTTTTTTTTTTTTTTTTTTTTTTGCTGAGAATTTGATTGAACGGTTTTGAGGTTATTTCGTCGATAGAAGACATTATTGAGTGAATGCATGTTGGAGCTTGACATCTCGAGTAGGCAAACCCTTTTTTCCTTTCCACACTTTGATGCTTTTTATGCGTTTTCTTGTCGAAGTTTTTGTTTGTACACATGTTTGTCCCACATATGTCATTGCATGTGAAACGGTTCTTCAAAGTTTAAGCTGCTGATAAGTTGATGAATAGTTTGAATGTTATTGAATGTCATTAAATGTTAATGTAATATTTGTCGCAAAATATATATATATGTAAATGACAAATTTGATATGTTATTTTGTTTTGTGCTCTAATATATGTTATTTGAAATCTTATTTATATTTTTTGTTGTAAATTTTTCACTCTAGAATTTATAAAAGGAAAATTTTCTGTTCTTTTAAGTAGTTTGAAAATAATAATACTGTAATTGTTAAATGAAAAAAATAACACACTAAAATTAATAAATGTTAAAATTTAACATACGTTTTTTTTGGTGTTAAATTTAACAACAAATATGACATACGTGAAACATCGAATATAGAGATGGCATTTGTCTCAAATGCCCGCGCCGCTAGTAGGGCGGCGACTGGGAATTGCTAATTGAGTATGAGGAATGATGACAACCTCTTTCCCAATTATTGGTACGACGGCCTAAACAAATTCTTTGTTCCATCGCCATCCTAAGTACATGTTTAAGAAATATTGTGAGTATTATTTAGTTTTTTGAAAAATATATTTAGCGTTAACCATTATCCTAATATTGTTCTATGTATACAAATTTTATTGGAATTTAATTTGTTTTGTGAAAATAATACATTTGGAGACCCTGCTGAAGTACCCAAAATCTAAAGGAATGCCCTTTTAGCGAGGCAGTATTTCTATTCCATAATCATTATATATTTGTACCTCACTTTCCATTCTTTATATAATAAAATAATCTAGAGAAACGAGAAATAAAATTTTAAAATTTATTTAATTTTTTAATTTAAATTGAGATGTAATTTTATATAAAAAAAATTTACTGTAATAAAAAAATTAAATATTACTGTTTAAAAACTTTTTATTATAATAAAATTTAAATTTTAAACTTCAATAAAATCAAGAAAATGAACAACATTAAAGAAAGACAGAACTAATGAGGTGAGTCGAAAAGGGCACATTTCTCAACTCATTTTACTGGAGACGAAACTGAGTTCACAGCCTATGGCTCTAGTAATGAGCCACATTAATTGATTATTTATTAATTACTTTCTCTAATTTCTGAGAGAAATAAAGAGAGTTCTTACTCATTAGAAGGGGGGAAAAAAAGGGAAAGAAAGAAAGAAGAAACGAAAAATACATAAATAGGGTTGAAAGTGGAACACGAAAAACTTAGCAAATTATAACAACACGCAAGGGAGTACAGATGGAAAGTCTGCAAAAGGCAAACACAAAAATCAGCCAGAATTAAATGTTGATGTGTCCCAAAAGAGAGAGAGAGAGAGAGAGAGTAAATTGCAATCCTCAGTATTAGATACTACTCATTACTCAAGGAAATATGCAAAGAAGGCAATGGCAGTGACAGCCATGGCCATGGCCGGCAGAGAAGCAAGGTGGGTCCCAAGCCTGGCCCCACTGGAGGAGTCCTTGCTAGTCTGTGATTGTGATGCTCCTGTTCCTTTCGCCGTTGGTGTAGCTGAAGCCGTTGAAGCATTTGTGAATATGGCAGCGTCTGGTGAGTTGGCAGGTAAGCCTAGAAGCTCTGGTCATAATAGGTAATACAATTCACATTAAATAATAAATATTGCCAAAATTTAAGCAAACAAAAGCAAATTTAAGATATAAATCATATATGAATCAGACGAATTATAATTAATCTAGAAATGGAACTAGTAGTTGTAACTCTAATTTTTTCAACAGAAAGCATGGGCAGATATCAATATGTATTTTCTTTTTCTTTTCTTTTTGCTGAAAGATGCTATTAATGTTTGATATAACATATACTAAATTTAGTGCTTTATGAACAGGTCATAGTAATTCTCAACTACCTAGATTAAATATCACCCAGCCATCTACTATTTCCTAGACCTGCCAAGCATTAAAAGAAAGTTGAATTGAGAAATTGGCAAATTGGCAAATGCAGTTATAGCAATTGGCTTATTGGTCCCCACAGATATTATTATTTGCCAGCAAAATGAAAATAGACTTGATCATCTAGTACAATTCTGCATTATAAGAATATGGCTAAAAGGAAAATGACTGGAATAGATAAACATATAATACTTTAGTGTGACCAATGCTAGCTTCTCAACAGTTAATTTTGTTTGTAAATTACAGGATAAAGCTATATTTGATTGTCCTGCCAGGACTTCTCAACTCTCGAGAGGGAAAAAAAAAAAGAAGCTTTTTAAACTGTTATATTTTCATTGTATTATTGATTTTGATGCAATATCTAGAAACACATATGGACTCACTAGATTGACAATCATTATATGTCAAAAGTGCTAATCACGTTTTCTTCTATCACGTGAGAGGACAATCGTCAACAAAACACACGAGCCATAAAAGGGCACTGATGCTGCATCTTATTTGGGGTTGGGTCTAAATTTTATATAATAATAAAATAAAACCGAGCATTACATTACGGCAATGTCTAAAAAAATTCATAGGCCCGTTTGTTTGCGTTTTCGTTTTCGTTTTTCACGGTTTTTAAAGTAAAAAAATGAAAATGGGTGTTAAAAACGTGTTTGGTATAATTTTTTTTAAAAAACAAAACCAAAAACGTTTTTGTCTTTTTGTGGAAATCAGAAAACGAAAAAAAAGTGTTTTCATTTTCTTGTTTTCGTTTTCTATTTTCTGAAAAACGGATTTCACTTTTTTTTTCTTTTTCATTTTCTTCCCTATTTTCTGAAACCGTTTTTGTATTATATATGTTTAATTAATATATTTATTTAATATATTATTATTTAATATATTTAATAATATTATTTATATAATATATTTAATAATATTATTTATTTAATATATTTAATATATTATTTATTTAATATATTTAATA